GTGTAAAATTTTGACTGAGGCAGTTACATCATGGATTGGACTAGAAGCTTGGAACTAAGATTAAAGCCCACGTCTAAAATGGGGAAGATATGAGTGAGCATAATGATCCTATGAAAACTGGCTTTTATGAAATTACTCTTAAATGCTAGGTTTTGTTGATTCTGTTTAAATATATTCAATGCAGAAGTAAATGGCCGTACATTTTAAGAATATCCGAAGTAAAGTTATGAGCCTTGTAATAAATTTATTATGATTATTCAGCAAGTTCAGGAGTACTAATAACAGCACTACATTAATTATATACCTTAACTTTGAACACTTATTATCATCTGCTGGACATTATTCTAAGAAGCTTTACACATGTAGCCTTAGTCAACTCTCACAATACTCCTATGATGTAAATATTATTAACTTCACTTGGCAGATAAGAGACCTGGACACAAAATGTTTAACAAATCTGCCCGAGGTCATAGAGCCAGTGAAGAGTCAGTAGTAAGATTGAGGAAACACTTGTAAAATTATCCCAGCCAGATCTACCCATGGAAAGTGTACACAGCTGTCGAGAGTCTGAGTTGAAGGTGCCAGACGGTCTACTCAAATACATCACCTTCACCAGCTTACAACACTGCCTGAAGTTCCCACTAACCAAGAGAGTTCTTTGTGCTGAGACACTGCCTAGGCTACGTTCTAAAAAGTACACCCAAGAGGAATTGCCTGTCAAGACTAGGAAGACAAGGTTGACATCTTTGAGAGAAATTCACGTTATAAAGGAAAATACTGAAAAGAGCTGATGAAGGTAAAAAACACACTTCTACTCAATCCTAGCAAAAGTGAGGGGCAATGAAGGAAAAAAACCACCAGATTTGACTTTGCTTAGATATAGAAATTGTCCTTATTGTCTGTTCATTTTTTAAGTATAATTTAACTAGATAATTAAATCTTTTAACATGACAACTAGGAGAGATTTAGTGGCTAGAAAAAAAAAACATGTCTAATTTATATCTTCTGTATACATTTTGTAAGTCAAAGTCCTGCTGTGGACCCTTATTGACATATGAAATTTCTAATATATGTGTGTGACTACAAGACATCTGAAGAACATCTCGTAAGATTCTCACAAGTATCTGAATTCTCCAAAATTGTCAGATTAGAGTAAGACTGTTCTCAGCTGTACTATCAGCTAAACTGGTGTCTGTTGGAGCTAAGCCATCTTTAAAAGCTAAGAGAATATGACACATGATAGTTCGGCCTGTGTATCCTAATGAACATCAGGATGACATTCATGTTGGTATTTTAGAAAGCAAAATGAAAATAATGAAGGCCAGGATATCACACGCAGACCTCTGGTTTGCTACAATTGCTCATTGCCTTTTCATTGTTTAGATAACATGTAACATTCAGGATTAGGACTTCGACTAAATAATATGTATCAACAAAGTGAGTTGGGTATGTCCATAGATGATCTTAGGAAAGAGGCTACTAGAATGGCGAGTCTTCTAATTAAAAATGCTTTCCAAGTGAACAGACTGCTCAGACTTGAGCTATTACCGGGCTCTTTTCAGTTCTTAAAACATTTTCTTCACTCTGTGTGTAACAACAAATGTGGGCCAATTGCTGTGAGTTAATTGAAAAGGATTGTTTTCTAGTTGCCAAGAAACGGTGCTTTCTTACATTATGCAGGCCATTATGTGCACAGATCGAGCTTCCTGATTTTTTCTTTTAGAGTTTGAGAATATAGGCTGCTGTGATTCAGCTGTCCCTTGAGGAGAGCAGCACAGATCAGGGAGGCTTACGAGGGTCTTGTTCCATTTCAATTCTCCAGGTAAGATCTGGGTGTAAAGAGCTACCTTCTTTCTTCGCTCAACTTTTCTTAAGCTACTTAAATGCTTTTATATTCAGCAAACAGGCAATTCTAAAATAATGTGCTTAGTTTGGGAAATACTTGTGAAATCATGCTAAATTGATCTTCCTTTTTTAATATACTTGAATATTCTGAGAAAAAGTTAAGATAATATCATTGAGATTCTCTCTAAAGTGTGATTCCTCTTTGTTTCAGAGTAGAAAATACATGCAAAGCAAAAGGTTCTGAGTGTGGATAGGATTGAAATAATATTATTGCTATGGAAGAAAATATCATCATTTCTACCTGTAGAAAAGACATCAAATTTTATTTGACTGGTTCTAACTATGAAATGAGCTTTATATTTTATGAACTTCAAAAAGACATGTTGATCTTCTACATGAATATAACTGGTATATAATGTCTTCTTCTTACACATACAAAACAATCTGCAGAATTTTCCACTTTCTCCTCTCTGGGAAGGAGTTGTCAAGGTAAGAGGTGGTGGCTGTGGCTTGCTCTTTTGTCTCTCTTGCCTTTCAGCTTTCACCATGATTTCAGACTCCAGGTTTTTATTATTAACACCAATTAGAATTCACGATACACTGGCGCTATTTATTTTTCTTTATTCTGGTATTGGAGGCCCTAGGCATGTAGGCAAGCATTCAGTAGTGAGCTACACTTACCAGTCCTCTCCTGGTTGGCCAGTTGTTATCATTTTGAGAGAATAATATAGGCCAGACTGGCTTCAGGCTCTTCATCACACTGCCTCAATAGCCTTAGTGCCAGCGTGGCAGGCATTTTGATATTTTCTTGATGGTTTTGTCTTGTGATTAAGATAAAATCAGGGTCCTATACTCAGTAGGAGCTTACTAATTACAAACAAACACAAAGTTCTACCTTTATCCTTAGGACTCCAGACAACATTCCCAGTTAGTACCTCCCAGACTCTAAGAGCTCATTGTGGGTGACGGTATGGCTTAGATCAAATCACTTCTACTGTTAAGGAGTTCAAGCTTTCCTAAGCACAAGCTGGACTCTGTATTCTCATGAACTTGAACTTAAAGTTATAGTTCACATAGTTTGTGCTTTGAGAATAGTGACAACTCTAAAGAGGAACCTAGTTAAATGTTGTTATTTATCTTTTCTATGTCATATTTTCTTCTCTCTTGCATATGTTTAGATTTTCTTAGGTGTATGTTTCCTTTAAAAGGAAGAGCACCACAAGATTAAAAAATTAGATAAGTTTCCATGTGTTCAGGGTTGGAAGTTACCTAAGTATAACTATGACATGTGTAATGTGAGCAATTGTCATTGTTAATTCTGTAAACAAAATTGTTTTAGCATGCCTTTACCTGACAATGTTATCTGAATTTTCCACAAATGAACCAAGACTTTCATAAGGAAATTACGGCATGAAATAATGTTGATGAAATGACTACCTATTAATTTAATTTTAACTCGTTATACTAGTCTCCTTTTTGAACTCCTAAACATTTTTTTAATTAACCAAAGCTGCCACAGTCTCATCAGCTATAACAAACTTGTCACACTGTATTTCTAACTTAGTAGTCATAAAGTGGAAGCAGTCCACATAAACTGATGCATGGCTTGTGGTTGTCTGTGCTTAGAGTGATTTACTCTGTGTTAGAACTGGTGGAGGTTACATTTGTCTTTGAAGATGAGCTTAAACAATTCCATTCTGGTTTACAACTCCCTCTTCATCTTTTAAAAAGTGCTGTTTGCCTGAAACCATACTTTAACTTTATTGTCGGGATGGTGCTTAAAATATCTATGCTGGTAAACTTTTGCTTAGTCATTATTTTTGTAATTATTAGAGCAAGGTGATAAATGAGTATGTGGATGGGGGTAGACTAGAGCAACATCAGGTTAGATACAGTATTTTAGTGGAAGACTGTCCATATCTAGCATACTATTGCTTCGTAGGATAGCAGAATAACTGTAAGGTTTTAAATATAATTATATAGGGACTAAATAATACTGCTATAAAAGGCTTGATTATCATTTCTGGATGGTATTTTGGCTTTGCTGTTGTTAAATATTGGTGAGTTATTCATACTGATTGAATGCAAGATAGGTGGATTTTGATGGATTCCACTGCAGGCATTCAGCCTTTTTCAAATTTCCTTATGAACAGCTCATCATTTTTAGAACATCACTTCTTTATTAAAATGCTCTTTGAAAATTTGATCATCTGCTTTATGAGACATCTCTCAAGTAGTGGTTCAAAGACGTATGAAGACATGCCTGTGCCTTTAATTGTTAATTTCCCCCACGTTTTTTCAATATTTTATTTACTTGCTTTAGAAATTCAGAGTAATAAAGTCCCTTCTTATTCTTTGCCTCTCTGAAATGTTCTCTTTATAGCAGAAGTTGCCTAAATGGAGAAAATATATGCAAGTTGTAATAAATCAGATTGCCCTGTTGTTTATATATGCTCAGTCCCTTCTTTGCTGCTGTTCTCACAAGTCAGGATGGGATTGTTTTCTTTCCACTTCAACTTTCTTGTTAAAGTGAGATTTCAATTCTTATCAAAAGTGTTTTTCTACCCATTTCCTTATTTTCTATAAGCACGTCAGAAGCCTCCGAGTCTCCTCATCATCTCCCTTCTGTTGGGTGGTTCTTAGTCTGACAGAGCCTAACATGTCTTTCAGTTGTCATAACATGAAGCAGGGTAATCCTGGCTAGTGTGTGGAGACCAGGAGGGCTGCTGAACATCCACAGCACAGGATACGGCAGCCCCTCCCTTTCCCCCGACACAAGAAGTGTCCAGTTCAAAATGTCCATAAAAAGAAATCCTGCCCAACAGGCCCCACACATCCTACTGTAACTAAATGCATGGGGAAAGGTCAGAATTTTGTTTTGAGAACATCTTGAAATCTCATGTGACTTCATTCCTTTTATTTCAAATATTGGCCTACAGAATCATCTCTATTTTCTCATGGAAGCTTCTGGAACCTGTCTATTTGAGAATGATCTGACTGGATCATCCAGTTTTCCCTTCCTTGCTCATTACTGGCACGAAAGTGACAATGATCACATTATCTTCATGCTCCTGTCATGTCTGTATTACTAAGCCCTCCTTTGTCTGATAGACTTGTGGATAGGGAAAGATTCACTGGGGCAGGACAATAGTCACCTGTTTAATCACGGTGCTCCTGGGTGTCCGTGTCCACAGTCTTCCTTTAATAATCACTTATTCATTCTACAGACACTTAGTGAGCACTTCTCATTTTCCAGAAAATACTTGTGTTGGAAATTCTGCAGTGAATAAGATAAAATTCATTTTTTTAAATTTTGCAATACAATTCAGTTCTACATATCTGCCACAGATTCCCTTGTTCTCCCCCCTTCCCCCCCCTCACGTTCCCCCTACCCCACCCCTCATTCCCACCTCCTCCAGGGCAAAGCCACCCCTGCGGACTGAGATCAACCTGGTAGACTCAGTCCAGGCAGGTCCAGTCCCCTCCTCCCAGGCCGAGCCAAGCGACCCTGCATAGGCCCCAGGTTTCAAACAGCCAACTCATGCAATGAGCACAGGACCCGGTCCCACTGCCTGGATGCCTCCCAAACAGATCAAGCCAATCAACTGTCTCACCCAACTGGATAAAATTCATTTTTAATGGTGATCACATTCCAGTAGAAATCAGAAAAATCCCAAAAATCACTGTTTCCTTCAAACATTATTTATACTGTTCTGTTACATATTAAAAACTAAACATCATTAACTATAATCAAGACAGAGCTTTATAATTAGCTTAAAAATTCTTCATATCTTTTCTTCTACAACAAACAAACAAAAACAAACAAGACAAACACCCATGCCCACCATCACCCCACCAAACCTCTTTTTCTCAGAAACTATCAGAACTTTAGGTCCTAAACTATGCTTTCTGCAGATGTCTCTCTATTTTTGGTTACAACTTACTTGGTGTACAGGAGCTAGGAGACTGACTTTGAAGTAAATGTTGAATGAAGGGAAATAAAATATTTGATGAACTGAGATAGTGTGAGTGAGAAGAGTCAAATCTGGCTGTAAGAGGGAAAACTGCTATAAAAGTCAAGATGGAAAATTGTAAAAGAGGCCAATCATTCAGTCATGCTTGGAACTTGTTTCTATGCTATGCCAGAAGGAGAGAAATCACACACACACACACACACACACACACACACACACACACACACACACATACACACACACACACACACACACACACACACACACACACACACACACACACAGAGAGAGAGAGAGAGAGAGAGAGAGAGAGAGAGAGAGAGAGAGAGAGAGAGAATATGAGACTAGGTTGATCCTGACTCTAGGCCATTAGAATCTGATCTGTCCTTCACCCTTCTAGAAGACTTCGTGGAGCAATACTGGGAATTTACCTAAGGCCTCCCATATACTAAGCAATATACTAGTCTACCACTGAGCAACATCCTGAACCCCTAGAAATATCTTTTCACAGTGCTTTTTAACAGCAAATATAACAAGTGTCCATTCTAGGCTATCAAACCATGTCAGCCATTTATCATATAGAATTGTCTCAGAAACACAATCTTCTTTTTGTATCATATGTTTTGTGTTGATCCTTAGAAAATTTACCAATGTTGGACTGTTTTGACCTACAAAAGTGACAATCTTACATGTTTCAGCATAACTTTTACAATATTTTTAGCTATTGTTTTTGTAGATGATATTTTTTAGTACAATATTAAACCACAGGCACAAACTATTGATGGAGGACATTATATAAACTATCCACATGACCAATGTTTATGGTACTCTAGGTTCTTCCTTATCAAAGGAACTGTGGCAGTCTGGGCCTGAAATGATATAAAGAGTATTATTTATTTATTATATAATTTCTCTGTTACAAGTACTAAACTGTATTTTCAGATTTAGTTTCTATAATGAACTGATGGATAAATATTTTTACCCAACTCAGTTGAAGAGATCAAAATTCAGAAACTGAGTAACTTACCCACATTCAGAACACCCATAGCCAAAAAATTCTGGCTTTAAAGGATGGATTTCCCTGAAATCTGCTAGTATCACCTAGATGATAAAAATAAGTGTTTTTAATCATCAATAGAAAACCAGTTATAAGCTACAATTTTTATCATATTCATAAAAATTGAAATTTTCTATAGCCATAATTATATTATTTCTTTGGAATTCTGTTATAACAATAAGCTGCAATTTGGATAAGATCATAACCTATTTCTAAATAGAAAAGAAAAGAAAGTGGGACTATGTTTTATAATAAATACAGTTTTGATAAATTTAATGACTATTTAAATAGACATAGCTTTACCAAATGTGAGATTTTTTTTAGAGCATCAGTTTTTTCCACATATTTTTAACACATTAGTAGAATAGTTCATATTTTATTCATATGCTAAATATAAATACTAGAGAAAGGAAGAAACTATAAAATCAAATCAAAAGAAATACTGAAATCAGAATGTTAAAACTAGAATATTTTTGCTTCATTGATGTTTCTCAGTCTCTGAGAAAGAAATCTGCAGCCTCATGCATGACACTGAGGAATATGCCATACATTAAGTCAATACACTAAGTAACATATTCTAAAGCACTAACCATGCACACAGATACCAGCCAGAGGAAAGAGTTAACACAAGTTACTGTTGCACCCAAAAGAAACACAAGGGCTCTCTTTGTACCATTTTATTTCATTTGTTTCTTCTTTCCTTCCCTTTTTCTTTCTTTCTTTCTTTTTCTTTCTTTCTTTCTTTCTTTCTTTCTTTCTTTCTTTCTTTCTCTCTTTTTCCTTCCTTCCTTCCTTCCTTCCTGCCTGCCTTCCACCAGTCTTGGTTTTAACTAGTCTATGAGCCAAATCAATCCTACCGCCAATTTTTATACAACCCATAATTTAACAATTATATTTGCATTTTGAAGTTGAGAAAAGGTGAAAAGAACACATTGAAGTGCTGTCAGTAACTCCAGATTAGAAATAAATGTAAAACAGCTAATATGTATGACACATGGGAATTCTATGTAATTTCAATTTCAGTGTCTATAAATCAGGTTTTATTCATACGTTCCTTCTACTGACACATCCACTGGCTGACTTTCTCACAGCAAAGGGCTCCCTGGCTGGCTGAGTCAGTGGCTGTGTATCTGGCACTTTATAGAAAAGGTTTATTGACCCCTATCCTAGAGTAAAACTGCCTTTATTCAGAAGCCAATGTTATGGCTTTATGCTTGTGTGAGTCAAGCAAGTCACTGTTTCTGAGCTTCAGATTCTACACTTTAAAATGATCAATGGCCCTGTGCTGGCTAGTGTCATACCAGCTGACACAGCTGGAGTATCTGAGAGGAGGAGACCTTAATCGAGAAAATGTCTCCATAAAATCTGGCTCTAGAGACTTTTCTTAATTAGTGATTGATGGGGGAGGGTCAAGCCCATTGTGGGTGGTGCCATCCCTGGGCTGGTGGTCCTGGATTCTATAAGAAAGCCCCAGGGAGCAAGCCAATAAGCAGCACTCCTCTATGGTCTCTGTATCAGCTCTTCCCTCCAGGTTCACATGCTGTTTGAGTTCTTGTCCTGACTTCTTTTGATGATAAACAGCAATATGGGAGTATAAGCCAAATAAACCCTTTCCTTCTGTGGTAGTTTGAATGTAATTGGCCCCCATAAGCTCATAAAGAGTGGAACTATTGGGAGGTGTGGCCTTGTTGGAGGAAGTGTGTGGGGGTGGGCTTTGAGGTCTCCTATGCTTAAGCTATTCCCAGTGTTACAGTGCACTCCCTGTTGCCTTCAGATCAAAATGTAGAACTCTTAGCTCCTTCTCCAGCACTATGTCTGCCTTCATGTCACCATGTCCCACCATGATGATAATAGACTAACCCTCTAAACTGTAAGCCACCCTAATTAAATGTCTTCCTTTGTAAGAGTTGCTGTGGCCATGGTTCTCTTCACATCAATAGAACCCCTAAGACACCTCCTCAAGTTGCTTTTGCGTCATGGTGTTTAATCACAGCAAGTAACCCTAACTAAGACAGTCACTTAGATCAAGGATAACTGTCATGTATTCTCTATATATACTAATGTCATTAAATTGCTAACTTTTTAATACTTCTCTGGGGTATCACAATACATGATTTAAAGAGAAAAATCTATGGAAGCTGAAACAAACAGGCTACAAGTTGCATTACCTTGTCATAATATGAAATTCAAGCAGCAATCATCATTCTTCCTTTGTAGTTAATAGTAAAATGTAACTGCTCATATTTATATCTCACTCATACCATATGGTTCATTTCAACTTAGAAATAGTTAAGCTTCTAAATGTGCAAATGCTATGCTACAAAGTGGGGGTGCTTTTCTCCCTGGGACGATGAACATCTGCTGAAATAAATTTTCCAATGGAGCAGTTAGCTACTTCTGCTAGCCTTTTCACTTCTTTCTTTCCTTCCTTTCTTTTCTTTCTTTCTTTCTTTCTTTCTTTCTTTCTTTCTTTCTTTCTTTCTTTCTTTCTTTTCCTTCCTTCTTTCTAGAAATTCGAAAAGGATGTTTGTTTAACTTCCACCATTATCATCTCCTAAACCAAGAAATAGTTTCTCTTGGGACAAAATGTTTCTAGAAAAGTAACATAGCCTTAGCTTTTATTTATTCTTTTGTATTTTCAAGGATGGGACAAGTAGAGTTTTGCATATTGCTTGAAAGACCACAGAATTAACTCTTGGATTTCAAGACTCATATGGACTGTAGACAATTTCAAACCAGAGGGTTGAAGTAGCAATTTTTACTCAGCAAAAGTCAGATTTTAAATGAGACTGGCTTTTAGGAAAGACCTCAGACCACTTACTCTTTGTACCCAAAGGTAGACGAGTCTGGAGGAAAGATCTCCAACCTTGAAAATAAATACTCCCAATGCTAGCATTCAATAGCATCTTGGAGATAATGAGAGGCTAAGCAGAACTAATAGGCTCTAGTCAAGGCCTGCCAGTCTTGTTCCCTTTTCAGCTTGTAGGCATCTGTTTCCCTGGGGAAAGTGAAGGCAAGACAGTCAGAGCACTTAGTTTTATGGTGCATAAAGAAGTCAGTGGGTAAGAACTATCAGAAATCTCTGTGTAAACCAGTTTGAATTGAAGATGTTGCTTTTGTCTCAGTGCTTTAAAGAAGAGCTCCTGGACCTTGGGGATTGCATCAAGAGAAATGAGTCATGTCTGAAATGGGGAAGAAAGGGCGTCAAATTTCATGCTCATTCATAACATGAGGACTTGTTCCCTGTATTCCAGTGGAGACAGGAGACCCTGAGGGAGACCTGAGAATCAAGTATTTAAGTGTTGAAAGGTTCTATTTGCTATAAAAGATCAATGGAATGGAGTCTATCATATATAAATCATTTGTTTCTTTTCTTTGCTTAATTTTTTATTATGAAGCTGGGCACATGCCTTTAATCCCAGCACTAGTTAACCATAGTTAACCATAGAGGTTTGGAGGTCTGTACAGACAGACAGAGAGTGATAGAGTGGGGAGGAAAGAGGAAGTTATGAAGCTGAGTGGAGAGAGGAAGTAATATGGCAGGGCACAGAAAGGTATATGTGCATGAGTATATAGGAAGCAGCTCTCTCTTGGAGTCTGAGGATTTCAGTCAGAGGATTTGTGGAGTTGCTATGGTAATAGCTGGTGGCTGTGGCTTGTTTTCTCCCTCTGATCTTCTAGCTTTCACCCCAACATCTGGTTCCGGGTTTTTTATTAATAAGACCATTTAGCAATTCGTGTTACATGAAGCAGTTGAATATATAAAGAAAAAGTTCTACTATCAATCAAAACTACTTGACCACTTGCTATGTATTTTGCCACTCCATTAAAATCTTTAGCATTCCCAAGATGCTTGTGGAATGGAGGGGCATTTTCCTTTGAGTGAACTGTTAGAATCTTTTGGATGACAGTCAAACACTTCTGTAATTTCCTTTACCATTTTTAGCTTCTTTTGGCATCTTATTTCGAGTATGTCTCTGGAATGTCAGGAAGAATCCAGATACAATTCCAAATGCTGTATTTTAATGCTAAGCTAAATTTGTTCTGGAGAATTCAGGAGGTGCAGGAGTTGGGAATGGATGGATATAGAGCTTTCTGTTTGTTTGTTTGTTTCTTATCACCTCACAAAATCTTAATAAAATACCAAATAGAGCTTTGGTCAGTTGCCACTTATGAAAGTAGATTAGAAAGGAATTTTTATCCTTTGGCAATAGGCAATAACAGATTTATTGGCATGGGGGAAGGTGAGTAGCCTTAAGGGAAACCAAAAGCTAGACTTTGAAAAGACCAAATGGTCCAAAGTCAGTGGAATTGTTGTTGTTGTTGTTGTTTTCCAGGATATTAACATTTTAGTTCTCTTCATTCACAGTTTAAATGATTTTGGCGACGTTTTGAATAAAAATTTTGGTTAATTCCCAAGCTGAATAATCTATAATAATATAAAGTGAAATCCCTTCACTGCTGTCTGCTCTAAGTTCCAGAAGCTTGTATGTGAAGTTTGGTGTACCGATACTAACTGGGACAGGAGATAAAGACCCAGCAAGGACAGGCCTCATGTGATCATCTCATGCAAAGTAAAATCGTTCATAATAAATGGTTCTTTAAGGTTCCAAGGGATTGCATACACCTGCATTTACAGTATGGCTCTAGTTACTTGACAATGAATGAATGGGTCTTGCTTGCCCTTCTCATCAGGAATCACTGAAGTATCAAACAAAGGATGAATTCTTTCCTAAGAAGCTTATAACTAACTCAGGTTTCACAAGTATTCCAGGAACAGGATTCTTTCTGGTTACCAAGGTTGTAAGTGTGATTTTGATTTTGGCCCAGAGAATGAAGAACCCAAACCATATGTTGTCCTACTTGTTCTGTGAGCCAATAGCCAACACTCTTTTTATCCACCAGCCCTCAAGTCCTTATTGTATTCTGAAACAACAGACCCAAGTATTTTTTGTTGGCTTACCTGAATTAATCTTTTCCTGAGCTAACACAATGAATACTTAACAGAAAAACTTCTTCCTGCTCCATACTACCTAATTCCTTT